TGTGTACCCGAGGTTTCCTGCCGTGTATCTTCACAGGCCATTTGTGGGGCATTTATTTATACAAAATCTCTCGACGGTATTTCAGGCGGATTCATTTTTAGCGCGCTATGGCTGGCTGGTCAACTTCCACCGTGGAATTCAAGAAGTAGACCATCAGAGAAGTAGTTCAAGGAAAATAGGAGCGTCCCCTGAATGTCACTGGTTTGAATCATCCGTCGAGAAATCCCAGGGTTGGCTTTTTTTTTTTTTTTTTAAATTACATCGCGTTTATTAGCAGCAGCATAAGAGGAGGGTCGGCTCACATCTTTAACCTGCCTGCCTGCCTTTGTTTGGTGCTGCATCTGACAGTTATTTTCTTCAGTGTTTAGTGATTTTGGTTAATTTATGACCTGTTGAACACTCACAGGTCACAGTTTACAATAATCCAAGACCAAGAAAAGCAACAGGTCCTTACTTCATGAGAACATAAAGTATTTATGTTGGCTAACCGTTTGCTGTCTCTTCTAACTACTGTAAAGCCAGCATACTGTGACTCAGGGAGGAAAACCCAGACTTGGAACCGGTCCTCATTCACAGCGAGCTCCTCACATGCAGCCCGAGATAAGACGCGTAAACGCCCACAGGGAAATGGTCAAACCAAACCGTTGGCTCAGCTTCTGTGCAGAGCTGTAACTTTTGACCATTATGTCGAACGCACACCTCAAACGTTTTGGAGAAGCTGTGGAGTTGCAAAAGAGTGTTTTGTCACTCGGCTCGGTTGCGCTTCTCGGATTGGTCAAACATCCTCAATCTTTGTTCTTCAGTTAAGAGCTGGACTTTGTCCGCAGACCCGACGTGGCCTCGGTGGTGGAGACTCGTCTGCTGCCTTCTTATCTGCTGTGTCTCGCACACAGCACTCAGCAAAGTCAGCCTGGTTTGGCATCTCTGGCTCTGTTCTCATGATCTCTTTCACATCAGTTACTCAGAGACATGTATAAGAGGATGTCTACTGATCCACAAACCCGGCACTCTGACCTCTCAGATATTAACCGGTTAGCGCAGAGGATGCACCTGTATACATTTGCACTCTTTTTGCATAGAGCATTTGGAAATGAAATGCTTGGCTGCAGACAGGCAGGCTGTTCCCATCGGTTCCGCTTCATTAGCCGGGCTCTCGGCTGCGAACCAAAAAACGGCAGTTAGCACGACCTTGATCCTGGATATTATTTGCAGTTGAAGAAAATTGCTGTGATTAAAGGATGTTCTTTTATCCAGAGCAGTAAGGGAAACCCTGAGGGAGGAATGCCGTGAGATGTCAGGATCTTTGCACGCCCTGAGCATTACTTTTTAATTCTTGTTGGCAGGCAGTGATGGAGCTGGTGGAGAATGATTCTGGCAGGTTTAGTCAGGACTTCTGTGATGGTGTTGCTAGTCGGTATAATCAGTGATCGCAACGTAATAGCTGCAAAATATCCTCAGTCGGTTTTGGCTCCAGTTACTGGTCCCATGGAAAAGGGTGTTCGAGTCCAGCTTGGTTTATGGTAAAAGTTTCCAAGGACCCAAAGCTTTGAAAGTACGAGAGCACGTCAGATGATCAGAAACCCAAAAAGGTTGGTCTGTACAAAGTTTTAAAGGCACACCATAATAGCACAACGCGACGCACGAGGACCTGAAAAGGAAACGCAAAGAAGCTATTTTGGAAGATGCGTGTCTACAAAAGGCAAAACCGCTGTAGGTGTTCATCAGGCGAAAAGGTTCTAGTGTCAGCTGCTGAGTAAGCTCATAAAGCGGAAAACTGAAGTATAAATAGATAGAAAAATAGTCTCGTATTGAAAAGTGCACAGCAGGAAAACTGTTGACTCTAAACAAGCCAAAGCAGGCCTGATAACTAACATAACTACAAGTTATTTTGTGGATATTTTTCTTGATTTTTCTAAGTTTTTCTACACATTTTTTTTAAAAAAGAATTATCAAGAGAGCCTGTTGTAATGAGCCACAGATTAAAGTCTCAGATGTCTTGACCAACAGTGGAAAAAACCCAAAGATATTCGCTTTACTGTCAGTCACAGGAAAGAAAAGAATCCCACCTGAAAAACTAGAACCAAGAAATGTTTGTTTAAAGGATAACTAAACCTGTTACTCAGTTATCGGTATAGTTTAATATTCTGTCAACTGAGTGGCTGCTGCAGCTCTAAACCATGACGGGATTCTTGACCTGCTGACTTCATTAGAGTTATAAGAATTATTACTTTTCTTATAAACACTGCGCAGGATTATTTGGTCTCTCCACTCACTAACATTAAAAACAAGAATTCTGTGTTGCCAGACCAGAAGAAGATCATTTTATTGACCCTTAAATGATCATTTTATGTAGAGGAACAGATGCCTGGAAGGAAAGACGTAGAGTTCGTCCATGAGGCCGAGCACGGCGGTAAATCTGAGACATTCCATCGTTGATTAACTCCTCTGCTCGGACATCTTTCAGCGTCTGAGTGCCATCTCCAAAGCGAACATTTCAGGCGGTTTGTTCATTAATGCCGCACAGTGAAAGGTGACATATCCTCGTTACCCGCTGACCCCTCATATCTAACCAGCGGTTTAATAATTAACAAAACCCAGCGGTGTGTCTAAGTGGAGCTTTCCACATCCGTGTGTTTGGTGAAAGCTTAAGATTGTGTTGTTAGTTGTTTAAGTTGTGCCGTTGTGTTGCTGCGGTTTAGCTGTCACCGATTAATACGCCATAAACAGGGTTTCAGAACCCGTTCGTTGGTTTTACACTCTGTCAGCTGCAGCCAGTAGCGTGACAAATATACAAAAAGGTTAGTTCTACTTGGTTAGCTGTCTGGCTTCAAGTACGTGCACCCAGTGTAGCGTTTGTTCCATCTGTGTTTGTGTGCAGTTAATATCAAAATGCATAACAACAGGATTTCCTGTCTTGCACTTGACCAAGAAGCTCAAACGGTTCGGCTTGAGTGCAAAATGTTGAGAGGAAATGTTAGGATAGGTTATTGTTTAGATTTAAGATCTATTTTTGATGCACTGGAAACAACTTTCACCTGCCTGCAGACACAATCTAGATAGATGTGGATGTTGTTCGAGGCCTCCTCACACCTGGAGTTACCCTCTCTGCCCCCGGGACTGTTTGGTTCGTCAGACGTCTGCGCACTTCCGATTTATAGGAGTGGCGTTCTGGACTCGCTTCACAGAAAATGGCAAAGAATAGCAGCGCCAAGTAGTACATAGAGATCTTTTAAAAGTCCTGAACGGATGGAGCAGGAGCCGAACAGACGTGCACGCAGCAACATGTCGGCGTGAGCAAGAAGCACTCAATTATGAAGCCCGAGGAGGGAAAATAACACGGGCGAGCACGAATATGTGTAAGCAAACCCCAAATCCCCAGAAACAGCTATTAGACCTGAACAAGTGAAAGTCTAGTGTCTGTGGTGGGGAGAACATCTGTGACTCCTGGTCTTTCCGTAATTGCAGCGATCCCTCACGTTTTTCCCCAGCGAGCTCGTAATAATGGTCTGCATTGTGTGTACAGTATGTAGGGTTGGTATCTGTTTCATGTCAAGAATGTGAGCCCCGTGCAAGACAGGAGGTGTTGTTGTCTTTGTTCCACCGCCTGTGCACGCTCTGCTGTCGGCCAGGATGTTTACCTGCACCGGGGTAACCAGACTCCAGGCTTTCTGCAATAATTGGATTTCTGCAATGTCATGCATACAAGAAATCTTGTTTTCCACAATTGAGATAGAGGATCAAAGTAATTCTTCTCCCCTGTGAGACTCTCCTGGAGACAGCTGAGTGTGCGAGCTGCTGATCTGGTTTGGCTTAAATGACCAATGGAGACACGTGCATTTAATGCAATATAAAGAGACCTCTTGTGTTTTGTTTGTTTTTTACCGGACATACAGGTTGTGCCTGTAAATGCTCAAATCCTAAATTTGAAGCATTACACAGCCGCTCTAGATAATCTAATCCTGAGCTGTGTTGTTTTGCTAATCAGCAGAGCGAGGCTGGATAAAGCTGCCATGTGTTTCTCCCACTTGAACTACAAGTTGTTTCTTGCTTTTTAACTTGAATTATAACCTGAATCACAAAGAGCCATTTAAAGGCTTGTAACTTGCTTTAATGTTTTAAAAAAACAACTTAATTTTTCTCAAACTGTACATTTCTGCATTATGTTTTCAGAAACACTGTTTTAGCTCCAGTCTCTAAAAGCATAGTTTGCTCTGCTGGCCCGACAGAAACCAGTCCACCTCGTTTACTCACCTACATCTATTAGCATATGCAGGTAAGAGGTTTTCTGTAGGAGAGAATAGCAAACTTCAGCGTGGAGTTTGTAAGTTTAACATAAAAGCAGCTATCTAATGTATTAAAGAAGAGGTAGAAACACAAACAGTATCACATGAGCTCTTTATGTCTGTGCTGTCAGCTTCATTACAGCTCTGCCTGCACCTGAACGTGTATATAACGGCTGCATTTTGTAATGATTTGGACTTCAGGTTTTTGGCGATAAAGGCAGCAGTGGAAAAGATCTCCAGTGCTTTATTCCTCCAAGTGGGAGATATTCAGCTCCTTATCGTCTGTGTCAAAACTAATCGCTCACATTTGAGAAGCTGGAACCAGAGATTTTGCGTGTTTGCTTAAAAATAGCTGCAGCACTTGTTTACCTTCCTGTGGACGGAGTAATGATTAGATTAATTGTTGCAGCTGTTGTAAATACAACACCGCCGCTCCACACAGCGACACTGATCAGCAGCAGCAACGGGAGGATTATCTGAAATCTAAAATATCTACTCTACACGCAACAATAGGTGTTCACATTCTTCCTCCCGTGCGTTGCCATTTCTCTTTTTCCTTCACTCGCGGCGTTTGTTATCTTGTAGAGGGAAGTTCCTGCAGCTTTTCAGCTCATGTTAAACAACAAAACAGGTTTTCTGAGCTTCTCATACCTGATATTTGTCAAGTGACCCTCCTCTCGCTCAGCTCCTCACACCGCTTGTTTCGTCTGTTTTCAGATCCAGCGCCCCCTCCCCTTCCTCGCGCTCCCTGATTCCTGCTCCCCATTGGCTGCTGTTCCCAGAGGGCGGAGATAACTATGGGGTAAGAGAGCTGCAGGGAGACACCAAGACGACACAAGCTGAGGAGGCCTGCTCACCTGCACAGGTAAGAAAGCACAACATGCACCTTCAGAAGCGATGCTCTGCATCGAGCGTAGGCGGTACGTCTCTTCAAAGGAAACACGTCATACCGAATTTAAATACACAAGGATGTTTGAATTTAAATGTGCTTTGAAGTTCTTGCATTTATTTGGAGTTGTAATTGGTGTAGGAAGATGAATAAATAACAAAACCGCCTTCCTCCTCTTGTATCAGCAACTGTTTAACCCCATAAAGCGACATTTAAACGTGTCCAAACCCAACCAGGAAGCTCATTTTGACCAGTTAAAGCTCAATGACAAGCCATTAACCTGCCATTGTTCTCTGCTGTCTCACGCCCATCCCCCACACAGGTGAGATGCCTCACCTCACTGAACCTTTTATCAGGTGGAAACTAGAATGGTCAAACACAGCTCGGCATTGTCTGCTCGATTGCTGCCAGATCTAATCAGAGAGCCGCTGACATGCTGGTTACCCGACATGTGTTCCATGTGGTGGAAACGGAAAAAGAGTAAAAGCAAAAGTAGCTAAAACACAAAATAACAGGAGCAGTAATGCAGACCGGTACACCACCGCTGTTTATCAGGACCTGAATAATCAGCATGAAGCAGAATTATGACCAAAGTCAACACAGACTGAAAATGTATGAGCTTTGTAGAAGTAGAAGAAAGAATAAAGTCGACTGTGTGGGACAGACAGTTTTGCCTCTGACTTATCAAGCAGCCATGATTGATGACAACAAAATCCAGATGTTTTCATCTTTTCTTACAAGAACAAACATGTGAGATGAGGTCTGTCAAGAAAGCTGCTTAAATAAAGTATTAAAATAAAAAAATCAAACATCGCCTAAACAATTATGTTATGATCCCACCTTTACTGCAAACTCCTGTGGGTTAAAGGCTTTATTAGTATTTTAATGTTGTGGTGGTTAGAACTGTTGCCTCGCAGCTAGAAGGTCGCTGGTTCGCGTCCCGGTGAGGACACCCGGGATCTCCATGTTCTCTCCGTGCAGCGTGGGTTCTCTCCGGGTTCTCCGGCTTCCTCCCACAGTCCAGAAACATGCTGAGGTTAATTGGTGATTGTAAATTGTCCGTAGGTGTGAATGTGAGTGTGCTTGGTTGTCTGTCTCTAAGTGTAGCCCTGTGATAGACTGGTTACCTGTCCAGGTGAACCTGCCTTCACCCTGAGTCAGCTGGGATAGACTCCAGCCCCCCATGACCCTGGTGAGGATTAAGGTGTAGAGATGATGGATGGATGGATAGTTTTTAAGGTCCTATGTGATCATTTATTGGTGTTATTAGAAATAAGGTTCACATTTTGAAGGCAGTAGCTTCTGTATTTAAACCAAACCAGACAAGGAGATGTTCTCTTTTAAAAAACTACTTAAACCCATTTTACACATAAATTTGTCGTCCATCTACGTGGTCCAGTGTCGACTGTCGCTGCAGCTGTTGTCGAATAATCAGGATAAAACGTGGACTGCATGAGTTCCTTCTGTACTGCCATTTCAGTGTTATGTTAAGCACTTACGCCACAACGATTTTTTATTTGTCCCAAAGGTTAAAAATAGATTACAAATTCAAACATGCGTGGCTTTAAACAAAGAGGGAAAGGTCAGGTCTCTGTTGTTAAAGAGGCATGGGAATCTGGGGATCACTTAAATAAATAAAACCACTTTGTGCCATTGAGGCGTTGCACAAAGTCTACACAAGCAGAGCAGTGAAACAAACAGTTTATTCATCGTTCAAGCCCGTCTTAGACTGCAAGTAATGACCGCAGTCACTCTGGGTTTTGTCCTAATGTTCTTTGTGACTGCGCTAAACTTCATTATCACAACATCTGGTCACTTCCTTCACAGCTACAGTAGGTTGTCATGTTTACACACTTCCATTACGGACTCTGTTAAGCAGAAACTTGTGAGAAAGTCGAACATGGAACGCACCTTCCTGTGTCGTTCTGTTTTGTCGTTCATGAGAGCTCTGCATCGCTGCTGATATATTAGGCTAGCAGAACCTCCGGTGTGGCTCCTTTCTGCTTCGTATGTCTTTTTAAAGACACTGCGTTTACGCTCTGTGTATGAAACCGGTCTTATTTATGGCACTGTGTGAAATTCTAAGCTTTTAAAGCGATGATGTTTTCAGAAATAGTCCCACAAATGGTTTTCTGCTTCACGTGACACACTTTAAAACTGCACCAAGAGTTTTTTGCGGTACTTCGCAGGTCGACTCGGAGTGAATTTAGTCTCTCAGTGTTTCTTCAGATGATCACAGAGATGCTGAGGTCAGGCTTCTGTAGGACTAAATGATGTGAAGTAAACATCGAATTGTTTTAAATTTTTCTGACGGATATTACAGTTGGATTTGTGATATATAAAGTCAGGCTTCGATTCAGTTTTTACTGCGTCAGTCACTGCTGTTGAGTAATAAGATTCAAACTGAAACACTGGGGATAAAACTGAACCGTTTTATTATGTAAATGTACCCAAATAATGTAAATAATACTCCACAATGATTTTAAGCAAATTTATGAGTCATTTAAATATTGAGATAAATACCCAATAATAATATTTATAACTTTGATAACTTATCACTTAAACCCTAACCCTACTAATTTAAATATTACGGTACTATATGTATAATAGATTTAAAGGTGTCATAGAGCATCATCACATGAGATGCCATCAAAAGTCAGACAGTCACACCAGGTGGACGGCACACATCTGTGAATCCCACGTCAGACACGCTGCATAATGAATATATTAGACTTAAGTCTTTGTGCTGTGCAAATTGCTCAAGTTTCAAATCCCAGTTTTGATGTGAAACCCGTTTCATTGTTTAGCACGAGTGAAGACTTGTTGTTGTTCTTGTCCCTGAAGTAGCTTCGTGTCCTCAGTGTTTGGGATCATGGTGCTGCAGAATAAATTTGAGAATGAAGCGTCTAAAGCGCCTTAACCTTTTGCACGATGCTGTAAGTCGGTACAAACAGCGTCTGGCTTCTGCAAAGTTTGCACAAAGACGACCACAAGTCTAAACCACAGCAGCAAATGCTGTGTTTGGATACTGAAGGGAAAACACTAACTTGAAGTGGGGATGCTTCCTTCTGTCATATATCATATCTATCCATTTGAATATTAGAAAACTTGCCAAAGCAATGCTCCCTATCAACACTACTGGTGAAGCTCATGGAGACCCTCGTTTTCTTCCGCTTAGACCACAGCAGCTTATTATTGTCTAAATCATGCAGCAGACTAAACAGGAACACACCGGTCCGGCCGAACCACCCCGGCTACCCATTCATTACAGCACTCACTGTGAGATTCTGTGTATGTCTTCTACGTGATCTGGTTTTGCTCTTCGTCTCAGGACTCTTAACCTCTTATGTAACCGAGACCCGGATCAGAGAATCGGTCCAGGTTTAAAACAAAAGGGGACCATGCTTTTAAGATTTTAGCAACAAACTGCTCAGTCAGTGCCTCCGTTTAATAAGATGAACCTGCACAGATTGGTGTTTGCATCATATTCCATCATGTTTTCTAGTCTTCTCTTAATGTTTTGTTGTTGCTCTTCTATGCAAAACGCCGTGTAGCTTCGGTTCTGACTGCTGCTACAGAAATAAAGTTAATTATAGTCATTTAATCTGCTCTGCTGCGTGGCATTGCAACACAACTGGAAGTGTGACTTAGGACGCATTATACAGCAGCCAGTCCTGATTCACTAATAACGTCGGCTAAAGCAGCACTAACCAAACACAGATGCCCCGTCAGGCCTGTGCAGGTAGGTCTGTGTTTATCCTCGCACTGCTGATGGTTAATTGCACGTCCGGAAGCTGCGGTCTCGTCTACATGCTGTTTAGCTTTCTTCTCAACAAGCCCACCTTCCCCCACCCACTCATTTCCCAGAAGTCCCTCCTGTTTGTATGGGATGCAGAGGACAGGAAAGCTTAATTATCCATGAGAAAGAGAAGGAGAGAGGAGGGGTCAGAGCAGAGAAGCTTGTCCATGTTGATAATATAACGCTGATGCACTGCCAGCGTCATGCATCATCGTCCCGCGCTGCCGTCAGAGAGGGGAGGGGGGTCTTTCCTCTTGGTTTCCTGAGCATACGAGTGAAATTCAAGAGAAGGGAGGAAGGGGCGGACGCAAGGGTGGGAGGTAAACAAGGTGTAGGGAGCAGGAAGAAGGAGAGCAAACAGGAGCAGCAGTGCAGACTTGTTGCTAGGATGCTGAGAGCAACTCGATACAGAGGCAGGAAGGATACAGGAGGGAGGCACTGATCCGTTTAAACAGCACACAGCTCGCCTTTGATACCACTTAGATTCCTTATCAGTGTTAGTGACACTTTTATTTATTATTTAACACCTGTCAGGGATGCTTTATGATGCTGCATGATGCTTTTCCTAACGTTGTCTTCTGTGTGTGAGCGTGATGTGTAGCTTAAGTTGTTGTGTCATGTCTCTGTCTGTATCTTCAGTTCAGTCCGTTGGTCCACCGTCACCAGAATTAGATGTTCAGTTATTATGAAAATGAAACCAAGTACGATCAAAATGCCAAATAATCTGTAGTTTCCGCTTTACAAACTCATTTCTGTGGTTGTTTGCGTGACACACATGTCTGATTTTAAATCAGATATTTTCCGTTTGTGTCCTGCTGGCGTTGTCGTTTCACAGCAGTTCAATCAAACCGTCGCTCTGCTCAGAGATCTGTTAGCACCACTGTAGCTTTGTTGTTGTTGTTGTTGTTCTGACTTAAACTGTCAAGAACTCCAGAAAATGTTCTTTCCCTAAATGACCCCTAATGTGTCCCAGATGCTGACTTTCCGTCTGAACCGTTGCCTCTGTTCTGGAGCAGAAGCTGCATTCTTTCTGTCATTTATTTTGTGTCGGTGTCATCGTCCAATCATCGACGGCTAAACGGTTTATGTTTCCTCTGCAGCCCCACAGTTCAAAATGAGAAGTTCGGTTAGCGAGGCTTATTGCGTGTCATCCCTGCTTTCTGTTTCCTCACAAACATGGGTCATAAGTGTAATGAAAGAGAAACCACATCGACGAATGGGCCTCATTTTGATTGGTCAGAAGCACACGGCTGCATAAATGTGCCAATGATAGTGTGCTATGTTTATATTGTTGTGTAATTAAATTAATTAATATCAGGACTACAGCAGACGGTATTTTTCTTAATAGGTTTGATCACTTTCAATTTGTTTAAGAAAAGTTAGCATCATAGGATGAGTGTGCTTCATCAGTGGCCTCACTCTGAACAGTGGGTTTTTTACATTTCCACTCACTGTGGGTTCGTTTTTCGCTGCAACATAAAGTCCTGCACGTCTATGGAAACAGCACCGCCACGACTAGAAGGAGAGAGAACTCAGAAATGTCTTTTATGTGGTTAAACAAGTTATGATGATGAAAATGAAAAAATAATAAGTTTTTCCCTCAATTTTCTGGAATCAACATAGACAGCATATTTTAAAGTGGTCACAGATGTTAGTACTGGGAAAAAAAGTCTACATGCTGTATATAATCTACGTCTTTAATCTGTTTACATGCTTGTCTCCTCTCTGCTCTGTGTAAACACTGCCTGCAGTTCAGCCAAAAACTCCCAGAGTCTCTGTTACGGTCGCAGCTGAAACACTGACGGCTTCACCGTCGCACCGAGGAGGGAAGAACTTCTTCTTTTATGCAAGATCTGGTCAAAGCTAGTGGTCTGTTTTGGTAAATGTTTAAAACCAGGCATGTAAAATTAAGCAATTTTAATGAAACACGATGATTTTGAGCTCTGATTTAGTTTACTTTTAGTTTCACAGACGAGTACTTCAAGGAACATCTGAAAGCTGACAACCAGACTGTTCTCTCACTTTCTGGTTCTGATAAACGGTATATTTAGGTTTTGTTTTTTTTAGGTTTAGTTTTTACCAGCTGCCAGGTTTTGGGCTTCAGAGGGTTAATGCAAACTGTGGCTCAAGCAGACATACAGTTAATGTGGCAGCAAGAACAGAAAGCAGATAGAAGCAGATTAGAGGCCCAGAAAGTCCGAGCAGAGACATTTTCAGAGAGGCATGGCAAAGCGAGAGTTATCAGCGAGCGTGTGCCAAAACAGAAACCCGAGGCAGAGTCCAACCTTCTCAAAGGCTGCATTGTTTGTTCAGACTCACATGTCGTCCCCTTTTCTGTTTTGGTGCCAAACAGAACCAACTTTGGGACAATGCCTCCTCAAATATTTGACTTTAATAAAACTGTCCTCTGACATAATATTGCCACGACTAAGCAAACGGCATCAGCGGAGGCAGCCTGTTGCTGGTGTGTTACATAACTGCTGGGATTCCAGGAGTTCTGCTCTCATGCTCGGTCCACGATGTTCAAACGTGACTTCAGGTGAACCTTTTTTTTTTTTGCTAATTTTCTAATTGTTTTGTCGGGTTTTGTTTGGACTGCAGCAGCCAGAAGTCGTGCATGCACCTCTGTGCTCCGTCTTGCCGGCTGCTGCACAGACACGCTGATGTGCATGAACACACCTCAGCGCTCTCCACCTGGCATCCTGATCTGCAGAGTTTGCAGAAGGATTTTCTCACTTACAGTTGTGCAACGAAAGAGTCTGATGACGGCGTGAGATAGCAGCAGCAGCAGCAAATAGAGAACAATATGCGGTTAGACTTGTGGTTTAGAAAAAACAGCTTAAGCCTTGTTGTCAGCACCACCCTTGTAAAATTTATGTGAATAAAAACAGCATCTGAGCACTGCCCCCCCTCGTCTTACTGCTGAACAAAACACAGTTTAACCCTCTGATTCCCAAAACCTGCCTCCAGGATTGAAAGACGGGTTATTTTTACACCATTTATCAGCGCAAAAAAAACTGAAAACACAAAGAGCCTTGAACTAGTCATCTGTTATTTTAGGTTTTGTCGGGAAAATGAACTAAATCTGTGCCTAAAATCCTGATATTCATGGAGATTACTTCATTCTACGTGTCTTATGTAACCATTTGTCAACGGTGAAGCCACGACTGACTCACCTGTGACCAACACTGGCGTGACAAATATTCACTTTACCGTTGAACTGCAGGCTGAGTTTACGCAGAGCAAATAGAGTACGACGACGAAAACTAATTCAAAATGCAACCGGTGGAATATCTACACGATACTATAGGCACATGGAAAATGTTGATTCCATTTTTATTCATTTTATTTTGTTGTTGAGTTCCGGATAACTTTTTTTTCTGATTTCTGTCTCCTTCTAGCCGAGCTCGTGTTGCTTCCATAGAGGAGCAGGACTTCATAACGCAATTAAAAAAACACGCTCACAGTGAATGAAAACATCACAGGAACACAAAACGACCAGAAACTAGAACACAGAGGAACATGAAAGACAACAGGCTAGCTTTAGTTTTATCCCAGCTGTTGGTTTTGATCTTTACCGAATGAATACCATCAGTTCCTGAGTTTGACCTCTGACCTTCCTGTTCAGAAAAGGGGCTTCAGTAGATTAACACTGATACCATTTGCGTCTCCATACGCCGGTCTTGACACCGTTGTGGCACCACTTGTTGTGTGTGTTTGGATTCTCAGGCTCCCCTGAAGTCTCCTGCAGCAGCTTTCCATGAAATGTTTTGGCAGAAATGAGCAGCTTCATGTGACTTCAGTGTCACGCTGGTCTTGTGGTTGAAACCTCTTGTCTTCCTTTTTTATCAGTGATTTTCTCAGTAAAGAGAGAAGTGGTGACACGACACTCCAGAGTGTTGCCCTACCCGTGACGAGGCGTAAAAACTAAAGCACATGATCATGACGCTGAACTTCCTACACATCAGCACCAGCTCTCTGTCAGGGCTGGTCCGAATAGCAATCTCTGTTCTCCGGATATTTGGCCCAATTAATGACAAATATCCCGAATATTGGGGAGGAGGGGAAGAATATTAGGAGATCAAAATTGATATTCCAGCACAGTGAACGAATAGCCCTACTGTCTGTTAAATGGGTCGAGCCTTCCAGGTCACCGGTCCAGTGGTGCTGAGTGTTTATGTCCTCTAACTCTTGGTTTCTTTCTGTGTGTCCAGGTGGTGTCGAGTGCCGGACTCGGTCATGGCGCTGCTGCGGAGGAGGCTGAAGCTTGTGGTGACCGTGATGATGGTGAACCTCTTCATCTTCATCCTCATCTCCCGAAGTAGCAGCCAGGACAAAAACGGAGGCCACAAGGTCCAAATCCCTTCCAAGCCCTTCTGGACCAAACTGGGTCCCAGCCCGGCGTACTGGAACCGCGAGCAGCAGATTCTGGACATCCAGAACAATCCCATCCTGATGGCCAACCTCAGCGGTGCAGAGCTGTCCGGCTGGCTCAACAGCAGCAGTCTGCCCTCCGACCCCTGTCGGCCCAACTTCAGGGTTACCACTCAGGTGAAAGACTACAACTCCCTCCCGGGCCGCTTCAAGGACTTCCTGCTTTACATGCGCTGCCGCTCCTACCCAATCATGGTGGACCAGCCCGATATCTGCAAGGAGCCGCCGTTCCTGCTGCTGGCCATCAAATCGCTGGCACCGCACTTTGACCGGCGCCAGGCCATCCGTCAGTCCTGGGGACGGGCAGGCGTCACAGCCAATCAGACGGTGGTTACTATTTTCCTCCTTGGCAACGCCACAGCTGGGGACCACCACCCGGACCTGTCCGGGATGCTGCACTATGAGAGCGTCCGCCACAAAGACATCATCCAGTGGGATTTCCGGGACTCTTTCTTCAACTTGACTGTCAAAGAGGTTCTGTTCCTGGACTGGATCCAGACTCGCTGCTCTGGCGCTCGTTTCATCTTCAAAGGGGACGACGACGTCTTCGTCAACACCTACCGCATCCTGGACTTCCTGAAGGGCCTGTCGGAGCCCAAAGCCAGGGACCTGTTTGTGGGTGACGTGATCACCAACGCAGGGCCGCATCGAGACAAGAAGGTCAAATATTTCATCCCTGAGAGCCTGTACGTGGGGACGTACCCGCCGTACGCAGGAGGAGGCGGATACCTTTACTCCGGTGACATCGCTGCTCGTCTGCACAACGCGTCGCAGCGAGTCGCGCTCTACCCGATCGACGACGTCTACACCGGGATGTGTTTTCGGAAGTTGGGGCTGGCCCCTGAGAAGCACAAAGGCTTCAGGACCTTTAACATAGAGGAGAAGTACAGGTCCAACCCCTGCGCTTACAAGAGCTTAATGCTGGTCCACCCGAGGACGCCGCAGGAGATGATCCAGATCTGGGCCTGGCTCAGCAGCCCGGGTCTGATCTGCCAGTGATGGCAGCCAGCAGGGAACTGAATAGAACAGCCCTAAAGGAGAAGACATGACGGGCTTGTTCCCAAAAGGCCAAAGTGACAAATACTTTATCCTGAACAGGGTCATGACTTAAACGTTGGCAGCTTTAAGTTAAGATATTATTAAAATGGCCACTTGGAGCCTCAGTTCAGCACAACGGACGCCTAGAGATGAGGAAGGACGCAACGCTGACGTCAGGTTCCAGACGTGCTAACCCTGCTTTACTGTCGGACGAGCTTCACCCAAAGTGAATGTGTCTTTGAGTGCTTATATTTATATCACGACTATTTATACGGCCTTTATGATGCTTTAACACTGTGTGTCGGCTCCACCACGGAGCGTCTCAATGCTGTATTAAATAAATAAGGAGACCAAGACCTGGGAAGTGTCCACCTGGGACCCGCTGATCAGAGGTAGACGACGCTGTAGCCGTGTTTCCATAGCGGGTTTTTATGAGCCTTTGGAAGCAGAGCAGTTGATTGATATGGCAAACTTTCAGGTAAACGGGCAACGGGTTCGTGTCCAGCTCCTTCTTCTACTGTTACAGCTCAGTAGCCTCTACTGCCCCCTGGTGACGACACTACACAGCCTCATTTATCCAAAGCAGTCGACAGAAAGAAGCTCATCCACATTTTTAAATATTCTTGGCGACATTTCAGGACTTTGCTACGGAAACACGGCTGGTGTCGGTGGAGTGATGCGACACAGCTTTGTGTTCAACACTTCTTCATGTCAAGGCTCAGTTCTCGGTACCACCAGTGTTCGACGCTTCAGCTGTAAAGTGGTTCCCTGTGAACACTTCCTTGTAGCTGGAGGCTTAGTTTGTGCTGCTATTCCCATCCACACTCCCTAAAGTATTTACGCTCAGACTGAACCAGTTTCTCCTCAGACAGACTTGTGTTTCGTTCACAGATCATTTATTCGTGCTTGAAGCCTCGAGCTCATACAGAAAACCCATTTTCATTTTTATTGATGACGCCTAGTTTGTCTGCTTCCCGTAGATGATGCCGTTTGTCCTGTTTGTAACGTGCCACAGCTTTGAAACGGGAACGAGCGAACGCACACTTGGCTTTCAGGAACCAGAAAGAGTCCGGTTCTGTGGAGCTCAGCGGGTCTGGGCTCGGGTTTGACGTGGATGGAAAAATCCAAAATGCTGTCTAATTCTGCTTCAGGTTCACAGGAGATAAAAACTCATGCTTGTATAAACCCTAAGTGCATTTTCAGAAACAGGCTGAACTCTTGGCTTTAGCTTGACTCAGAGTGTGTGTGTGTGTGTGTGTGTGTGTGTCTGTGTTTGTGTGTGTGTGTGTGTCTGTGTGTGTGTGTGTGTGTGTTGCTGTCAATGCTGCTTGTCGTGACGTCAGAGACGCTTTGAAACGCAGGTCAGACGTCGTACTTGAGCTACCAAAGCTTCCGTTATTCTGGTGTTTAGGAGATCGTGGCTGTTTTTAACCTGTTTTACTGTCGGTCCAGAGCTGTTGGTTTTAAACGACGGATCTTTTATTTAAGTTACTGCTCAGCTCACTGCTGTTTGTTTGTTTTACTCACTTTATGAGAGACCTGCTGCACATATTTACCCTGCAGCTGCATCACAACATGCTCCTTTTCACACTGAGGGTTTCATGATGACAGAGATGTGGTAGAATCGGGTCCACGGGTCGCTCTGCTCTGATCCGGTTCGCTCTAATCGTGGACTTCCTTCAGTATTCTCGCTCAGAATGTGACTGGACTCGAGTGAATCAGTGGTTTGCTTCAGACTGACCCTGGACCTGGTTCTTAAGAGCAGGTCGGTGGTTTCTGTCTCTGTTAGAGCTCCACCTGCTGGTCAGGATGGCGCACTGCACACAGCGGCAACCAAGTGACCCAGAACTAATTTATTCAACCATCGTTATCTCCTCATTCCCATCTCCTGTCGCTCTGAGGTGACGCCTGTAAATATGTGTTGTGGTGACTTTTAGCCTACATCGGTGACAGATGGTTGCCACGGTAATAACACGACAAACATCAAAGACAATCGGAGTGAAGCTCGTAATTATTCACACTATCTTAACTCCTCTCCTGTGGCCGGACGTCTCCGTGTAGGATAAAACAAACACTAAGGAAACAGAAGAATTCATGTCCATCTGAGTTATGTTGTTGTCACCGTGGTAACGGGTCACTGGCTGTTTGTGGCTACTTGAAATGTTTACATGTCTGTTGTTCATCGTAGAAGCGTTACTGCCTGCTTGCTTCACTGTTTGCTTCTGAAGGACCTTTTTATTATTTTGTAAGCGATGCAGAGCTGTGTGTGTGTGTGAACAGCCATCTGCTCAGCGCCGTTTATGGAGCTTCTGCAGATGTTCTGGGCAGAACGGCGACCCGGCATGTCCGGTTACCACCCGCCATCGAGCTGCAGCGATTAATCGATTAGTCAGACGTATCAGTGAGCGACTGTTAAAGGTGAAAACCTGTAGATTCTCTGATTCCAGCGTTTTAAATCTGAACTCTTTCTTCACTCCTCTGTGACGACAAACAGCTTTTTTAGGCACTTTAACGACTAATCGATTAATCGAGAAGCTGATCGCTCCATCGTCACACACCAATCAGGTTTCACATCAAACCCAGAGCAAAAGAACTCATCTGTTCAACCGCATCGTGATTCAACTTTTCCTTTGTCCGGTCGCCACGCAGCTCCTGCACTAGTCCGAGTCTGATGTCTGTATGTTCTGTACGTATAGGAACCATATTCAGCATGATCGCTTTGTGTCATCAAACGACTTGATTTATTTCAATAAAGTTATATTTTGCTGTTTTTGTACACGCTGGTCTGTGCATTTTTTTTGTTTCTGTTGAGTGTTTAAAGGTGTTTATGAGTCCAGAACATGTTGAGAAATCTACATTTATGAGCTGAAATGCTGCTTAAAGCTGCAGTTTGAAAGGAAATCAGTCGCACCAGGGAGAAGCCTGTAGGATCAGGATATCTGTAGCCTGTTACAATCACAAATAAACATGAAAGTAGAGCATTAAAGATGTATTTCAGGAAGTAAACTGTAGTAATCAGTGGTTTTGTGTGTGTGTGTAGTGGAGGCAGGTGAGCAGCAGGGGGCAGCAGTGGATCAACATCCAGTCTGTCCTGCAGCTCTGGAGGCAGGAATGTAAATAAATCTGAGTGGAAGACGTTCAGCAGCACGTAGAAGAAAGAAGCAACAGAATTTTATTTCTAGAACCTGCTCTGACTTCACTGATACAGCAGCTCCAAAGAAATATGCACAGAAAAATGTGCGCAGTAGGAATGTCGTTTTTTCTGAGCATATTTGCTTTTAAAGCGTCACAATAAAATAAAAATGAAAAAAATCATTTAAAAAAATTATAAATACATTTTTAAAAATAAAATAAATAAAATAATAATAATAATTTTTAAAATATATATTTTTATTATTTTATTTATTTGTCTTTATATTTCTACTTTTATTAGCCTTTTTTATGGATTCATTTTTTATTTTTCTTGCTTTATATCGCCACATTATTTATGTTTTATTTTATTTATTCCTCTTTTTATTTCCACTTTTGTTGCATTTTTCTTTTATTGATTTATTTTTATAATTTGCTGCTCTCACTGCTTTATTTACTAAAGTTTAATGAAAATCACTTTTTAAACATTTTTGTGGCCAAACATTTCAAAATAAAAGTCGTTTGTTTTCTGTGACTGACCTGCAGCTACTTGTGGTTCAGAAAACATCACTAGATGACACTAGATGACTAATTTGTGCTCAGAGATGAGACTTTTCATGACAGCTTCAGTTTTATTTAATCCATTTGTCTAATGATGAGAAACAACTGAGACATTTTCAGGTTTTTATCTTTGATTTAATTTCCTGACATGTTGTCGTTTAAACTCAGACTTCAGCTTCATTGGGCTGAAACTGGGTCGACTGGGAACGTTTCTTTTCTCTTTTTTAACCTTGTGAAGTTTTTGATTTGTGTGTTTTCTGCAGAGAATCGCTGATAAAGATCCAAATGACCTTTTAAGGGAACGCAGCTCGACTCAGACCCGGTTCTCATCAGATCTCTGCCAGGAGACGCTCCGAGTCCAGAAACAACGAAACGAGTTTAACTTCCTGCAGGAGTCGAGCTCGGCAGGAAAGAGAAGCTCAAAGCATCACAGTCGACTTAAACCTGCTCCATTAGTTACACAAGCTCTTAAAGATTAAGTTTATTAAAGTCCAGTTCTGCAGATTCTGACTCAACAACTGATTTAAAATAAAACATCAGGATTTATCTGTAATGAGATGTTGTTGTTTAAATGCTCCATAGATCCAAGAACAACATTATAAATATGTGTAGTTTATGATTAAAATAAAGTTTAGAGCAGATCAGAGACAAACCCTGATGATCTGAGATGAAAGAATCAAACCAAGATAACAGATTTTAACTTTTCTGTTTTCACATTCTAGTTTATTTCAACATCTATCAGAGCAGCACAAACTGGACCAGCTCTGAACTTCAGCTTTAGATAAATGACTGTTTCAGTGAATCCTGCTGTCGGTGCAGATTCACGTCCACTGAGGACAGAACTTTACTGTTTTATTTCCTCTTTCTTCTGGAAGCTGCTGCAGAAGCGACACTGTTCCTGTTTGTGGCTCCGCCGACGTCCCAGAAGACGTTCCAGCTTCAGCTGCTGTTGGAGGCTGATGGGAAACATCTGGAGCTCCTGGACGCAGCAGAACCAACCTGAACACAGCAGTAGCAGCGGTTCTGCTTCTGATCCGGGATCACAGCTGAGTCACTCTGAGCAGTTTCCACTTTCTCTTCCAGCAGAATCGTTTCCACCGAGAGCGAAGAGTTTAAGGTTGACTTGGGTCCAATTGGGCTTTGTTAGAGACCTGCAGGCTTCTGGTTCAGGTTCTGTTCCATCAGTTTGGACTGGAACAAGATGTTTAGAATGTTTACTGTAAAATCAAACATCTGGCAGCAAGAATACCAGAAAAAAAAAGAAATAATTTTTAAAAAGGTAGAATACTATAAAATAAAAAACTGTGTTTTTATATATATGTTTATGTTTATATGTTTTTTTTATATATATATATAACATCTGTGAAATACACCGTTTGGTCAATGTGCACACTGATGATTGTTACTTGATGTTATCTGTAATTTAACAAACCATTTTAACTTTTTTTTAATACGATTTTTGATTCCTTATTATAAATATTTTTATTTAAAATGATGGCAGATACCTAGGACTAATAATATAGTTTATTTCAGAGTTAAATGAAGTAAAAATGGTATTTTTATGGCCCAAAAAGAAAGAAAAATAATTCAATTTTTTTTTTTTTTTTTTTCTGGATTTTCAACCAGCTGAGGCCGAACGTTTTATCTGATTTTTTTTTTTTTTTTTTTAAATGTAAAAAAAAGTTCTGGATTTTAAACCAGCTGAAGGTGAACGTTTTATCTGATCAAATTTCATTAAACACCTGAAATCATCCTGGTTCCTGTGAGGCAGAAGGTTTTCTGTTTCCTGCCTCTCGATCAGGTTTAATGTGATCAGATTAAAGTCCGTCTGCTGGAGGTGATGATTCAGAGCGATGGAGGGAAGCTGACCACATCCTGGCATCACCGGAGCGCTGCCAGGAAGCCGCGTGATGAGCTGAAGCTTCTGGGAACAGCCGATGGCGGCAGTGATTTTCTGATGAGCTGATGTTTTCCTCTCAGGAGGCTTCGGTTTGTCGTCTGACTGAGACGAGCTGCAGCGACACAAACACTCAGACGACTTTAAAGAGAAGAGAGAAGCCGGATAATTGAATCTCTGAGGCCGAGTGACTCCTGCAGGAGGAACGTGAATCACTTCACTAAAACACAAGAAGGTTGAACCTCTGTGCACAACCAGACGTTCCAGCTGCACTTTTAGCTGAGAAGCTAATCGAGTCTCAGTCCTGGATTCCTGCAGCCGAACACTTTGGAAAACTTTTGCTGCCTTTTTCCAGGAAAGCGAAGGAAACGGCGACACGGAGGGAGTGAGTCACCGCTCCGACCCGAACCTCCTGTTTCCATCCGAACCACCGGGAAGTGTGTGTTTGCTGACGTTTGAATGCCACCGACTGTACCTGCTGCAGAGGGGAGATGATCTGACTGAGATATCTGAGGTTTCTGCAGACGGGGTTTCATCTGTGGTGGAAAAATTCAACTTTAGCAGCAGGTTTCTACCAAACAATGGCTCCATGTGTGCAAACAAGCCTGAAAATGCAGTGAAAAGCTGCAGGACACATCAGAAGTCATGCACGGTAACACAAAGCAGCATTTCCTCCACATGTCGGCCTCTTATCCACATGCAAACGAGCATTTTGTTAGATTTTAGGAAACTCTTCAGGACGGGAGGGCATCTTTAAATCTCTTTGTTTTCTTCTCGATCCATTGATTCGTCGTCTGGTTTGTCAGATGCTGGAAAATAGTGAAAAATGTCCGTTAGCTGGTCGACACTCGTCTTGTTTCATCCACAGCGTGAACGGTCAGAGACGAGGAAAGAAAATATTCAGATTTAAGTCGCTGGAATCAGCGAATTTAGACGTTTTTTTAATCATAACAAATCACAGAAACTGACTGAAGTGGTTGACAGCTACATGAGCTTCAGGCTGGAGTGGAAAAATCTCTCCAGCACCAAAACGTCTAGGATGGAGTCGCTGCTAAAGAGCCAAACGTTTCCTCTGAGGACTGGTGGAGACCAAAAGCTGAGCTCAAAGAAAGTTAGACGTTCACATTTGACCTGAACTTTGTGATGCAGCTGCTGCTGTTTGCTTACAGTCTGGAAGTGGCCAAAACAGACCAGTTACTGAGGTTTAATGTGGATTTAAACACATAAATACACCGTAATGATTAAAGCAGGAGGAGTGAGCTGTGATGAAAACCCTGTACCGTCGGCCACATGACGCCTCTGAGAGAAACGAGAGGAATTGACTGCAGCACGGCGCTGAAACCGAAGCTGTGATCGATCATCCAGCCTCTGGTTGTAACAGACATGAAACCTGCAGCTCTTCCTCTCTGAGGGAGGAAGAGCTGCTCTGGTTCTCTGCATCCTTCAGGGAGACGAGAAGTGATGAAGGCAGGGAATAAAAAAACCAGGGAGGAAACGATGGAGCCGGCAGGAGGAAGAAGGAGGGAGGAAACGGAGTAATGACCAGAAATAGTCATTACAGGGAGGATGGAGGGTGAGGAGGGGGTGAGGAGAGGGTGAGGAGAGGGTGAGGAGGCCCCCTGGAGAGCCGGAGCTGAGCATCTCATCACCCCGACTGAAGAGTAAAAGCATCTCCGAGTGCTTCAGAGTGTGGCAGCAGACTAATGTGGGAGTGACGGGACTCCACCCTGCTGCAGCCTCAGGAGGACAAACCTGCTTCGTCTTCATAGATGCAGGAAGAGGCTGCAGTCAGACAGATGTTTACTGACCAGCTCTGAGGCTGATGGACTTTAATTCACCAAAAACAGACACTTTCATGTCAGAGTGAAGCCAGATGTGTACAAAGTACTGTTAAACAATTACAAATGATAAGTGACAGTGTTTGTGTGAACAGAGCTTTACCTGCAGTGCTCCACCTGTTTATAGGTCTGAACATCTGGACACATCTGCAGCTTTATTTAGTCACTTGTCCTGTCAGTCTGCACAGAAGTCATGAGTGAGTTCCTCAGTTTGAATCAGATCTGGGCTCAACCTCGGCTTCTTGTCTTTATATTATTTCTGTGGATGTTTTATATCATGATGCTGCTTCAAGGTGGGGATGGTGGGTTTTGTTGTCCAGTCTGGTGGCCAAAAAGATCAACTTTAGCCTC